CTAGGGTAACGGATAGAATACATATACTGTACATATATAGGTATATTTATATGAAATACATATTAAACATCCATGACTGGAGTACAAATGCTCGTATTCATCACACAAACATCTGCCCCCACCGGGATTGGAACCCGGGACCTCTCGAGTCGGCGACGCCATGAAACCCGGCGTATAAACCACTCGGCTACGGAGGTCGAAAATTGAATAGTGTGTTAGAGATAATCACTAGGATTACACGTGTGTTATCATCACAGAGTTTAATTTTACCCACCGTGTAATAGCTGTCGCGCTTAATGAAGAAGAAAATGTAATGCGTTGTTAACTCACAGGTGGCATGTGTCCACTCAGAAGCAGCGCATTTACACCGGCTGGTCACCGAGTTGTCCACCCGCTGCCCACTTTGAGCTTTGCATACTTGCGAGCGAGGCGATCCAGTGACAGTGTGGAGTTGACGAGGTGATCATACGCTCACAATAGCCATAGAAATCCTTACAGAGAATATGAACCGCACGAGTTGAGTCGGTGCTGGTCGGGTGCCGGATGACTGTGACATTAACTCTTCTATTGATTGGGTGGAGATCACTTGTAAAGCTATTCTAGAGTTACCCAGGGGCGTATCGAAGCTAGGACCAAAAGGGGCCATGGCCCGGGCCTGCAGACTCCGAGGGGCGCCTGCAAGTAGTGTTGTCAGGCCATAAAATGCAAAGGCCGGACTGCACACTATATAATGCCTGACATTTTGCCCTGAAAGCCGGACATATTTTTTTTATTGCCAAACATAATGTTTTTACAGCTGGGCTGTTGAAAAAAGTCACTCTGACAAAAAGCCTGACAAAAGACGGACAGGCCAAACACGTACATATTTGGCCGGACGCGACCGCAAAAAGCCAAACGTGTCCGGCTAAAACCGGACACCTGGCAAGCCTACCTGCAAGAGCTGTGAAGGGCAGCAGAAGTCATAAGGGCATTCGTTACTAAACTATACATATTCTGATTTGATTTACTAATTCTTTATTTAGCAGGAGGGGGGTGGAAATCGTAAGTGGCCCGAGGCGTCGGCTTTCCAAATACGCCCCTGGTGTTACCTTTCCAATATTTCGGATATGAGATAGCCCTGTTCGTACTGCGGCGACTCTTCGTACATGAACCTCATTTCGTTGAGATCTGTGTTCCTCTGCGCCGCATCCAAGTGGTATATTTCCATCAGGCGTAGTAAGCGTTCTGGCAAATTTTTGGCGCTGTCCCTAATTTTGTATTTCCGGTTGTAAGGGTTCTCCCAGCTGAAATAAATTTAGTCACTTCACGAACGCTCTCGAACCAAAACCACGAACATACTGGAAACAGATTTAACCAGAAAGCCGCAGGTCGCGATGTGGATGACCTCGATGTAGATCGAGTGGTGCGGTTCGAATATGACCTTAAGGGTGAAATTACCATGTCATCTACCTACTTGTTTAAAACTATTGTTTGGGTGTGCAACATCGCGCAGAAGACAGTTGAATTTTAACAGGGATTTCGGAAAGTAGAAGTAGAAATTAAAGTGTTCGATAGCGATTGTTAAAGGACTTGATTTTTTATATAGTGTACAGTACAGTGAGTGTAGTATCGTGTGCAGCAGAAGTGTGTAAACTGCGTTACAGATTAGGTAATAGTTACAGTCGCGGCACGTAAGTCTCCGAACAAAACGCGGAGGGGATAGCTGCAAATGAGTACGACTGGAGAGCCAATCGGCGCAACGCACGCCCACCCGCGCACCTCGTTTCCCCCCCAAGACATCTTAATTTTTACTTCTGCGCAATAACGGTCAGCGCTAGTTTCGTGCCGCGACTTATACTACCCGTGTGGTGAATATTGAACTCTTAAGCGCCAACTGGCATTCTAATTTCTAACGCCATGCTGACTCGTAACTATATTATATGAGTTTGAGGAGCTAGATAGCGCAGGTGGCTAGTGCGTTCGGTCTGCGATCGTGGAGTTAAGCAACTTTCGCAATGGCCAGTCACCAGATGGGTGACTTAAAAAAAATTATATAGGGCTCCGCCGTTTTTCGGAAGGCAAGTTAACCCGCTGGTCCCAGCTGCATCTTCAGTCGTTAGCACCCACCAATCCATACTGGATCCACGGGGTGGGTCTCCCTATTCCATCTATAAGAAAGGCCTGTTCCCCAGCAATGGGGACATCGATAGGCCAATGATGATGAATATGTGTTTAGCGGCCGAACTCTCGTCAATTACCTGTCCGTATAACGCTCCAGTCTAAGGCCCGTATTATAGAAAGATTCTCAATAATTAATCCAGTCTTGAGCATAGTCATAAAAGGATAATATAATCTATCTATCTATATTATAAAACTCAAAGGTGACTGACTGACTGACATAGTGATCTATCAACGCACAACCCAACCACTGGACGGATCGGGTTGAAATTTGGCATGCAGGTAGATGTTATGACGTAGGCATCCGCTAAGAAAGGATTTTGATCAATTCTACCCCCAAGGGGATAAAATAGGGAATGAAAGTTTGTCAATTTTAAAACGATCGGGCTGAGACTTTGCATGCAGGTATAAGAAGAATCATAGATGAATGTCATTGTGTATAATATAAGCCTGAGAACAAAAACTGTAGTCGTGTAGACTACAGTTCATCTTCAGCTCTATACCGAAGCAAAGCGAGGGCGGGCCGCTAGTGCTATATATAGCACATAGCGACATCCCTTTCTAACTGTACTCAAGTAAAGATCAAAACTTAGTTGTCATTCTGTAATACGAGCCTAAGAGAGGTAGGGCATAGCGGATTTTCCGTTAGAATTGGAGCGCCCGACTGGGGAAGTAACCTTCACCTTACAGAAAACTACAGTAAAATAACACTACTTTTCGGTGGTGTTGTGTTTCTGTCGGTGAGTAAGGTTCCTGGACTCCAAAGGGTAGGGGATTGGGTTAGGGTAGGCAAAGGCGCGGGCACGGTAATATTATCTATACAGTGATGTCGATTCTGGCACGATTCTCCAAATCTAAACTTAGACAACAGTGTATCCTTGTCATTCTCTATACAGAATGAAAAGGAGAGACTGATGTTAAATTTAGTTTTAAGTTTAGAGAACCACGCCAGAATCGACACCAGTATTGTGACTCGGCCCTGTCCTTGAAATAACTGCCTACGGCCGAGCGAGGCGTAAACACGCGGTAGGGCTGCCCGCCTACAGTATTTTAATTTTATCTACTTTATTGAGTTTGTTTCTAGTTTTGTAATTGTAAATATTCTATTTTATATGTAAAAAAAATGTTGTGTATGAATTAGGAAGTGTTCAATAAAAAACATGTTTTTTTTAGGTAATTTTTAATAAAAAAACCGTGGCGCGGGCGATAGCTCTGGTATCACAAACGTCTCTAGGCTTTAGTGACCGCTTACCATCAGGCGGGTCAATGCTTGTTTGCCACATTGTTAACATAAAAATAAAATAAGTATGGTATGGGAAAGGGAGCATTCATTTTTTTGATTAATATTTGGAATTGCAAATTAATAACATGTGTCAAACTCACCACCGGGTTAAGCGTATAACACCTGCAAAAGTTGAAATATAGATTTTACTAGCTGTGCTCCGCGGTGTTACCCGACGTCGACGTTACGTCGCGTCCGTTAAGGCGATGCTGTTCAAGTTTCAATACAAAATTTAACAATGACATTTCGGACTCGCAAACGTTACGTACGAAAACTTGAACAGCAGCTCCACAAAGTACGTAACGAGAACTAAAAATGAGTACACATTTGATAATGACATTTCGTACTCGCAAACGATACGAATTCGATATTGGTTCGTGCTAAGGGTACTGAGCCCTATACCTCTCGTGCTACAGCTTGACTGACAATAGAAAAAAATGTATACATTATTTTTTAATAATCTAACTGAAGGACGAAGTAATTTCGTTTAATTTACCCCATTTAAATACCTCCATTACTTACTCAAAATCAGCAATATTTTGTTTATCATTATTGTTCTGTTTTTCATTGAAGGTATACTAGTTTCCTTTTTTTAATCGTCTATCGTCATATCAGCCTCATAACATAATAAATAGTTATTTCAAGTTTAATAACTAATAAAAGTGTTAATTGCAATTCTTAATTTTAGGTCCATATTTCATTTTCTTCGGTCTTTGATAGTTTATCTAAGTGTACACTTTAGTTCGGTATTTCGTTAATATGTATTTCTATATAAATATGATATAGCATATTTATATATGCATACATATATGTACAGTATATGTATTCTATCCGTTACCCTAGTATCACATAACACAAGCCTTACAGTGCTTACTTTGGGGGCTAGGCTAATTTATAACCACACGACATAAGTGAAAGTTCTTTAGCTCCATCTGTATGTGTGTGTGTATATGTATAAATATATAAACATATGTGTGTGTATAATATTTACATGTATGTACATATACATATTTCATTTACTAGCTATAAGAGAAAGAGAGAAAGAAAATGTGCGCGCGCACTTTCTCTTGCTTATATCCCCCACGCAAGTCCCGTTCGCCACGCCCAAACACACTTTTCGTAACGCGTAACGCGTTCGTCAGCTTACCCTCCAAATCAAGCGTGCGTGAAGAAATTTCACTTCAATAAACTTCAATACTAACGCGACACGTACACAGACAAAATAAAATATCTGCGTTTTTTTTTTTATGAATGAATGAATATGTCTATCTATTTATTCCAGGCGGAGTGCATCTTCCCACGGGAGGAGTCTCCTCTCCGTCTGGAGCCTCTAGACCACTCGAACCTGAGGGGGTCAGCTCAACTAGAAGGCGTCTCTGAGACTCTGACCTCGGCTCTAGTTAGCCGTTGTCGTGGGGGGCTCCAATCCCATAATCGGGGTGTTGATCGCAGTTTTATCGCCCCTCCCACTTTCGGAGTTTGCCTGAAACCACTTGACAGCCATGTAAAGTGCAAGCTTTATAAAGGTGTTTTAACATAAAAAAAATAAATAAAAGCCTCTTGTATGTTACGAATGAAACCTGTGGTTTTATTTAATTACAATACTCAAATATTTTTTCTTTATCGTTTTTTTACAATACATGCGCACGCACACTTTCAAAATTTCCAAAAAAAGTCCGTAAACATCTTCTTCTGACACCAAGCGAATATTACAGACAGACATTTGAAGAATAGAAAGACATTAGGCAGTGATGACGTCACATCAATTTGATGTCACGTGATCGGGCTTTAAGTCTGCAGCAACCCATTTATTTATACAATAAACACTTATATAGATCTTGAAATTTCTAATACACATAGTACAATATTATATATCTTTTAAGACCAATAAATATTACACTCGACCAGTGTACATTCTAAGGAATTCGAAACATCTTCAATATTATTTTAGTAATAATAATAATTATTATTATTTTAGTAATTTTCCACTTTTATATTTTATATATACACATTATAATTGTGACAGAAAAAAACTTTTATATGTGTATATTATAGTTCCTTTTCGAAATTACAAAATATCTGTTTTTATTTACATAATACGCATTATACACAAGTACATTGCAGCGTTTTTTCAAATTTGTATTTTACAATAATGTTACAATTGAAATTAAGGCGAAAATCCCTTGCGCTCTACCTCGAAAGTTCATAGAACTAACTACAATCATCCAGGTTAAATTCAAGGGATTTTCATTTGTATCGACTGCACACACAGCCTGCAATACTCAAACATACTTAAACTCTAATCTTGGTTGAGGTCTTGTAATTTTGAATAAACTACCCACTTTATGCTGTAGGTAATATGACGTATACACACAGTCAAATTAATAACTTCTTGAGAAGGAGTTAAATTTCAAAATGTCTCGATTTCAGTTGCAGTTTTGCATTCAAAATAAGGCTTTGGACGCATATATTAAAATCCATGGGCACTTTTCCGAAAATGCTGGAGCGATTGATTGAAATTAGTTAAGATATAGTCCAATTAAAGTCATAGAAAGTTGTTAAATTGAAGAAAAAAAAAAGCAGAAACATTATCAAAATTTAAGAATGAATAATCAGACAATATTTCTGTTACAACAATGATGCCGACTCTCACTTAGCTGTTTGTGTTTGCAATAAACATGTAACAAAAGTTACCAATAACATCAGATTATAATCCGTTAATAGAATTTTAATGTACTGAAAAAGATTTTTATGGGTTTTTCACCTCCTGCTCCAGTGGGACTCCCGCAAAAGAACTCAGTAATTTCGACAAAATATAACACATCAAAGAAATAAATATTCATTTCAGATTTGCAACAATTTAACAATAAACATGTGCAGAGTCGCAAGTCAAAGTTTTCCAAACAAAATTGATAGATGTCTCTGACAGACTTAAGATTTTATCTTGCTTCAAAATAGGAGAAAATTAGCCAATGTACAGGTACCTCCATTATGTTGCTAATAGGAATGATTTCAAACTTTTTTTTGTCTGTCAGATAAATTATCTAAAAGTATATTTGAAGCATAATCAAAACATAACTGATATATATTTCAAATGTCGCATGACGTCACGTCTTGGTACAATTTTAACTTTGAAGTGACGTCACAAGCCCCCAGTGCCAAACTTTGACGCGCTTTGTCTATAGAATTTTTTGATTGCATTGATTGAACCCTAGTGTGCATTTAAATTGCTCCATTTTGTATTTACTTGTTTGATATCTATGAAGATATAATGTTGAGAATTCTAATTGTTATTGGAACTTAAGAGCAAAGAATTATCTTTCATTTATTCGAAGCAGTGCATTGTTACAATTTACTTAGGAATCATTCCCACATAATTATATTCATCTATCTAATATTAAACGGGGCGACGGACCAAACATCAGCATAAGTTTTTGTTAACACAATTGAGCGTTGTTAAGCAGAAACCCACCAGCGAGCAATTTTGAAGCAAGCAAAAATGTGTTATACGAGCCCGTGTTAAAGTTTGATTCCATTTGATCCTAAAAATGACCAATGGCCAGCTTTCTGCTTTCACAATATACACACATACTTTGACATTGGTCCATAGAACTCATTATCGCTAGCTTCAAAATTCCCAACGGTCATTATCTGCCTAAAGGTGCGATCCCACGGTATGTGTCGCGCATGTCGCGGGCGAGGATGCTCCGCGCAGGGTTCCCAAACGTATGAGAACTCTAACGTTTGTGATTTAGCAGTATACTTTTGGTCATTAACGGTCAACATTGTTCAAATGTCATAGCAAAGTGTATGAGGTTACTATTTACCTCATATCATGTATAGAGCCTGCTAAAACTCAACCGTTAGGAGTTCTCATACGTTTGGCAACCCTGCGCGGCGCGTCCTCGCTCGCGACAACACATATCGTGGGACCTTAACACCGCTCAATTCTCCATACCGATACCAATACGATGAAATATAACATTTGAATTCTCAAATTTTCACATCTCAATCTAGTTAATATAATATTGTACAAGCCAAAACGATCTTTAACACTGACAAAATAAAGCTCTATATAAAGTTTGAGGACTCGAATATTAATTTCAATCGTAATTGGTTTGAGATAATAATTATTTATCTATATATGTACACACAGTGTACACTACAATATATTACTATTATTATTATTAATTCAAAATAATAAAAAAAAAGTTCTGCTGCCAATACAATACTTCGCAGAGTACTGTCGGCACAACATCAAGGTTTTCAAGGATATAAACTATATTTACGAACTATTCTCATATTCTTATTGCTTTGTAACAAGAGTCATAATTGTAATACAACAGTTTAAATAACCAGAACATTACCCATTATTTGGAATACGAGTAGCAGAAACTTTATGTTTGCAGTACACCAGAAACAGATTACATCATAATTATTATTTATCGTACTGAAGCAATTGTTTGACCACAGTTTATTGAGTCTTCCAATGTTTTACAGTCAATCTATCTCTTTCTATTGCAAAAAACCTTCGTTCTAAAAGAGCGAGAGCATACCCAGAGTAAGTGCCAGAAAAGGATAGACTGACGGAAGAATACGAAAGAGGTTTACTCCTTAAAAGTTCTAATCAAATTCAGCAGTTAGAATGTCCGGGTTTCTCACAATCGTCTCTACACCGACAATCCTCGTTAATGGAATCCAGAGACATCAAACTTTCCTGACTCGTCCTCAAACAGGACCTACATCTGTAATCCATAGAGTTCTGTGAGTTGGCATCTTCGGACACGGATTCTAGACTCCGCAAACTCTCAACAGAAGTGAGTTTATATGATCGTCTGAACTCGGCAATTTCGTCTTCACTCATATTCAAGGCTAATAGGGAATCTTTGGCCATTTTTCCCAGGGAAGACACTTTCTTTTTCTTTTTGGACAGTAACGAGTCCATTTTCGTCAACGGGCAAGGTTTGTTCAAACTCTCTGGCAGAGACTTGGGACTGGATCCACTGCGCGTTCTCAATCTACCTCTCCTCTCTGGTATGTCTCTCGGAATTGTGGTAGACAATTCCGGCATTTTGAATGCTATAGTTTTAGTTTTTGGGCTATCGTCCAACTCTTGAGACAACTCTTCTAAAGAGCTGGCCTTCTTGATTTTAGCCCTTTCCGGAATGACGGGCGATGTCCTTAGACCCTTCACCTCTTTCACTGTAAAGACCTCTGGGACTTCTATAGCTTCGTCTATAATTAGTTCTGGGGATAAGTCTAGCATTTCTTTAATTTCTGCGTCTTGCAGCTCTTGAGCAAGAGAACCTTGTGGAGGTTTCAAACTGGCTTTCTCACTATCTTTATTCTCAAAGGCGAGGTACGACAAAGCGTCCTTGCCTAAGTCAACATGCTCCAATTCGCTCGTCAATGTATGCATCACGTTTTCATATTTCTTTGCGTTCGAACAACCTTCTAATGTGACTCCACTATCGGCTGAAGCATTCTTCTCATCAAATTTGGGATCGTCTATGAAATCTAAAGTACTTTCCGCATCTTCACAAGTCTCTTCGATAGTGGCAATCGGGGCTAAATCACTTGGCACCTTAACCTCTTCTAGTTTAGGTTCAATTTTCTCCAAGACAGGAGCCGTCACTTCCCATACCGTGTTGACTATCGGCTGGTTTTTTACCTGCCTCTCGGTTAGTTCTAGGGCTAAAGTTTTCGTATTGGTCATGCTTGAGGTCAATGTGTTTTCAGGGCTTATATTCTCTTTGATACCGCGTATTACTTTGTTGGGCAATTTGTCTACGGGCTGTCCAGTCTCCGGACTGCTTTGTTTTTCCAAGGAATTCTCGGATCCTGAAGATTTCAGGACTGCTGCGAAGGATCTAGGCCTTATAGGTTCCGGCTTGACCTCCTCCGTTCTCTCTTTATCCAAATCGGGATTCTTATTCGAATCGCCGGCGTTCAAATCATAATTTTTATTTAAGTCGTTGGGTTTTATGAGATCTGTACTATCACTTGTTTTGGGCAAATCCTTGTTGCCGTTAAAACATGCGTTGTCACTTAAAACTAAACATTTTTGTACTAAATAGTCATCGGTGGCTTCGGTAACTTTATATTTCTTGTCGTCCTGTGACGCCTCGCTAGCTTCTGAATTCTGGAACGTCTGGAACTCGCTCAGGGTGTTGTCCGTGTCCGTTGAAGGAGTTTTGCTATCCAACTTCCTTGAGAAAGACTCGTCGACGAAAGAAACTTGCACTCTTTCCGAGAGCGTCGAATCAGTCGCTTCCGAGGAGCTATCTTTGTCCTCTTTGTCTTCTCTGTCCTTTTCTGTCACACTCCCCCAAGACCAGAACGAGCTCGTTAGAGAAGAGTCCTTTCTAGGCGGCGTATTACATTTCTTCTCTTCTTCATTCGAGCTTCTAGAGAACAGCGGATGTTGGAATAGACTCAGAAGCTTTTCCAAATGTGTGTTTAGCTTTATTTCTTTCTCAGGCTCTGGTTTTGGTATATGGAAGCTTGGTGATGGCGCCACCCATGAGATCTTGCGCATTCGCTCGCCTATACCCTTCGTTTTCAAAGCAGGCACATCCAATAAGCTGGCAGTTCTTTTCGGCGACGTAATAGTCTCTTGAAGACTATCCGAATGCTTAACGGATTCTTTCAAACTAGAATTGTTGGTCAAAGTCCCTTCGTTCGAAGAATTATTCTCTTTGCTTTCCGACGGGTTCTGTAATGAGTATTCTATACCCGAATCAGCTGAGGTCACCATGACTTTGTCGTGCCTACAAGAGTCTAAAGAACTGACGCTAGCTTCCAAACTAGAAAGGGAATCGTGTATCTTTTTGCTTATCCCGAATATTATGGGGGAGACGCTTTCGTTAGAGCTAACCGACATATTTAAGAGGTTAGAGTTGACGGGTGTAACCTCACTAGTGTTGGAATCCAGACTGCTTTCTGTGGACAATGCAACGTGGTCGGGTTTTCTCCTATCTAATTCCATATCCGTCGGCTCCGATATTACTAGAGGTTTGGTTTGCTGACTGTCTATTAAATTGAGACTCTCAACAGAGCTTCCAGAAATTTCCAGAGAAGAACTGCTATCGCAGAAGGGACTTCCGCTCAACTTTTTATTCATGAGCCTGGAGACTTCCAAGTCGGGACTGTCGAGGCTAGATTCGCTTTTATTCTTCTTAAGAACTACGTTCTCGCGTATAACACTAACAGGTACAATGAATGTGTCTAACTTACTATTAACAACAACTTCCGTCTGCGTACAATCGCTTTTCACCATTTTCACGTTCAAATCTCTGAATTCCTGAATAAGATTACCCAAGTCTTCTGTGATCGCTTCAATTTGACTCATTGCATTTTTATCTTTATCAACGGTCACATCTTCTATGGCGAAATTGAAAACTGTTACATCGCTAAGCTTACCTGGGTCTTCTTTCTCAGTTTTTGCAACCTCGGTTGTTTCTGTCTTTTTCTCACTCGCAGGATTAGCTATCTCTTTTACCGGATTCACTTTCCCACTCACCACAGTCTCATTATGAGACACGCTCACTTCACTAACTAAACTCGCAGTATCACTCGTTTTAACAACAATATTATCGTTTGTTTTGGCATTAGATTTGTCCGTAACACTTTCACTAACACTAATTACTGGTGCACATTGCACATTAAAGCTAACAACAGGTTTATCAGTCTGTATTTCAACTTTATTATTAGATTCAACTTTGATTGGTTCTCTTTCTTCGGTTTTCGTTTGTTTCGAATTCTCATTGGTTCTTGTTTCGATGGTTGTCGGCGATTGGTCAATGGGAGGCGCGGGGGAGGGTGGGGGGGTTACTGGGTTGTACACTGAGTCATAGTTTCTCGTTACGGAGAAACGGGATGAACTCTTTCTGATAGGATTCGTGGTTGTGGCTGGATGCACGTGGATTTGAGGCGGTTCTGATACCTGTGGAATACAAAAAACAAAAGGTTAGAAAAAGTTGTTTTGAACTTTCATCATTTTCATGTTATTGTGTGAGGGTAGACCAGCGTTGCCAGAGATCCAGATTTTTAAATCAAAATTAAATGACAGGCTCTATCCCACTTTTTCAACTATTTAACCATAGGGTAAATCTGATCGTATTAAAATACATTTTCGATGGAAATTTTAACTTGGTACCTATCTATTGTCACGTAAACGTAATTTGAACTTAAATAAAAAAAAAATCAAAAACTTTTGATTATATACGTTTTTTTTACTATGTCCCACTTTCGACGGAAGAGTTCCACTTTTTTTACTCAAAAAGTTATTAAATCCCGACTTGGCATAAAAAAATATGGCAACGCTGGGGTAGACGATATGTCTGCCAATAAAATCCTACCCGCAATTACTATAGTTAATCCGTGATCATAGTGCTTGCAACAGTGCCGAAATATCGGATCGATTGACGACCTCCGTGGCCGAGTAGTTTGTACGCCGGGTTAAATGGTGTCGTCTACTCGAGAGGTCCCGAGTTCAAATCCCAGTGGGGGCAGATAGATGTTAGTGTGATGAGTACGAGCATTTGTACTCCAGTCATGAATGTTTAATATATATTTCTATATTAATATACTTATATATGTATCAGTACATGTATTCTGTCCGTTACCCTAGCATCCCATAACACAAGGCTTACAGTGCTTGCTTTGGGGCTAGGCTAATTGGTGTGAGTGTTGGAAATATTTATTTTATTTATTTTTATTAGTGCGAGTGTTGTAAACAAGGTACATGGTAGCAATCCCGTTAGTATAATAAATTGCTATAATATCTATAAGAAATCTAACAGTTATAAAATTTGTGTAAAAAGACGTTTAAAAGCTACTAACTAAAACTAGAACAGATAGCATTCGTTAAGCAACCGCTCCATAATAAAAATAACTGAGTGCTAAGTAACTTTAAGAAAGCAATTTTTGTGTATTTACCTGCACAACTTTAAACCTAGACGACGCAGGACAATAGTTTCTGGGTGTTGATGGACTCGAACTGTCCGACGATGACTCTCTCTCCGGCGTCACTCTAGTCACCTGTAACATCAAAAATAATTAAATTAATTACAGTTATTTTGTTATGCGCGCGGGCACGGGGCTGTCAAATGTTGATTGAAAAGTACGGTTTGCAAAAAAACTTGGAACCCTTTTTTAGCACACAGCTATTTCTAGAATAAAAAACAAACAATAACAAATTTGATAATTGATGTTGTTTAATTTGTTTTTTTTTTTCATTTTTTGTGCTTTGGCTATCAATGGTTGATAACCTAAATCGTCAATCAAATGTCACTAAGTTGCGTTCATAAACTCGATTCAAAAATTTCGTTTACATAAAGGATGCATGCTCGTATGTGACCTAATAATAGCGCATAATTATTCATAACTACTCCGGCGGTAATGCAGAGATGAGCGGAATAGAAGAGATTCTGATTAATGTATTTTCTCACAGTCTTAATAAATAAATATTATTAAAAATAGGTTGTTTTTCCTCTCAATCTTAGTTAATAAATTTTATTAAAAAAATATGATTTTTCTTACTTAATCTTAGTAAATAAGTTTTCATCATCAATAGCCTATTAATTTCCCCACTGCTGGACTCTGCACAGGCCTTCCCTATGGATGGAATAGGGAGATTGGGACATGACCCACCACGCGGGGCCAGTGCGGATTGGCGGGTGGTAACGACTGCAGACTCAGCCGGGACCAACGGCTTAACGTGCCTTCCGAAGCACGGAGGAGCTCGAGATAATAAATTTTTGGTCACCCATCCAATGACCGACCACTGCGAAAGTTGCTAAACTTCAACGATCGCAGGCGTACGCGCTAAGCACTTGCGCCATCGAGCTCCTCCAATAAGTTTTATTAAATAAAAACTTTTTTTTGCTCACTCTACCTGTTTGGTTCGAATTGACAGCTATGACGCCACAATATGGCGCCCAGTCGGTCCTATTGTTAGTTGAACCGCATTATACTGACCTGGAAGCGGGAGGGCGCGGGCACGGGGCTGCCAGCTGGGGAAGGGGCAGGCGAGCGGAGACGGCCGCGTCTCTCCTCCTCCATACTAGACTGTATGGACAAAACAATGCTATAGATCTGAGTATTTTATGTTTACCTATATATTTAAATTTATCTTATTGTATTGTATTTTCCTTTTAATTTTTTCCCCCTTTTCGTCTTCTTCCAATATAATTATCAGGAAAACTTTTGCCTTGTGTTCCGCACAACCTCCCTTACTCGCTTACCTTATTTTATTTCCAGCTCATTGGGTTGTCTGGAAGAAATCGCTCATTAGCGATAAGACCGCCCTTTGTGCAATGTTGTATTTTTCCACTTGTTTGTATCTGCTTGTTTTGTTACTGTGTTGTGCAATAAAGAGTTTTTACCTTATCTTATCTTATCTTATAGATCAGTGATTCCCAAAGTGGTCTATAACGACCCCTAGGGGTCTACGTCAGCGAAAAAAGAATAGGGAAGATGCAATATTTTTATTTTTGTTTTCATTTTAAAGAATTCCATGTAGAATAAACCATAGATATATTAAAAAATTAAAACATTGTGATTTATCGGAAAAAATGCGGTTTTAAATTGACAATTTAAATTTTCGCGCGAAAACGAACCTATGGTTGCGATGACGTCACTCCTGTCTGTCACTGGTCGCACTTGTTCGTCGCTGGCTTTAAATTTTCATACTTTTGCATATTTTTTCGACTTTCGAAATATTTTTTTGAAAAATTTAAAATGGACTATCCATCAACATCATGTGATCATAACAATACCACTAATATTCCGAAAAAAAGCCGTGTTGACTCATGTTTTGTGCCAATCTACTTCAACAAAGTTTCCAAATAAATTGTTTTTGACTGGAACTTCTGACCCAAAACTGAAAAAAAAGTGGTTTCAAGCTGCGAAGAGAAATGACAATTATTCTCCAAAGACCATTATTCGATGCTGTGAAGATCACTTTGACGTAAGTCGGCGAATATACTTTTTATATGCTTAATTAATCTGCTTGTACGTAAAAACGCATTAGTAACCTACCTAATACTTACAAAACCTGTCTATAACATATTTTTAATTTTACAGTTGGAGAATGACGTCGAAAATTCGATAAACTTTAAAATGTGTGGCACAATCTTCACATTGGCAGGACTGAACCAAGCTTTGCGTTTCATTTAAAATAACTGTAACACGATAACCTTCTTTACGTACTTTATGCTCCGGAGAACTCGACCTTTTACTGTACATAATTCTCCATCTCTTTTAATTTGGACATAGCCGATTGCATTATCGCCGTAAGATTTGTAGAAGCCGCTGAATAAAATACGAAGTTTACCAACTACGATTTTTACATACCGTAGTAATTTAGTCCCTTTCATTTCTACACTTAAAAACTCTGCACTTTGGACAAAAAGAGTTATAACCATGTCAACACTAACTCTTGGTAAATTCCTGGAGTCTGCTTTGATAAACGCAACTTCCATTTTTATTAAATGTAAAAAAACGCAATTAATATTCCCATAAAATAATATTTACTTTAACAACCATAACCTCAAAGAAGTTGTCATAACAGGAGTGACGTCACTAAACGCTGATTGGTGTTTTAAAATACGTTCTGTTTCAAGTTTCAAAATTCCTAATAATTGTTAAAAAACAACATTATGTAAAATAAAAACGTTGCAGTGGCATTTCTTTTATATTTTTTTAACATTTTAATCATAAAATTTTCATAAATATTATATATGCATCTTCCCTATTAGGGGGTCCATGAAATGAAAATGGGGGTCCAAGATAATGGATCTCAACATACACTGACAGTACTTATTTACTTACATTATGCTATCTTCTCTTAAAAAGACATATACATTATTTATAAAAGTGCTTATGAAATAATAAAAAATATTATATATGTTTATAAAATTTTGTAAGATGTAGGCATTCGCTTTGTGGTCGGAATACATTTTGAAGTTGTATAAACCTGCACATAATGATAAACCAGTATCATCTTGTTACACTAACTTCCCTCCAGATAGAAATTTACAAAATATCTATATCAGATAAGTAGGGGTCTACCCAAAACCTAAAAACATGCAAAGGGTCTACGACACAAAAAAGCATGGGAACCTCTGCTATAGATAGATAGATAAATCAAGTATTCCCATCAGTACAGCACACAAATTCAAATAAACAAATAGAACAATTAATTACTAGGTATTTAACTGTGTGCCGCAACGACAGACAAAGGCAAAAACTCAGCGATACCTTTGCTCTAAGAGCAAAGCACTGGTTTTCAGTTCTGCCTAGAAATCGCGTAACGTGAAACGACATCGACGTGACGTGATTAATCTCTTATCTATTAGACAAGTCCGTCTGTCTGTGGTGCTGTTTCAGCGGCCAAACCGTAAGAGATAGATAAAGAGAATATTGGAGTTATAAGTTAAGAATAGTCTGATAAGACTACAAACCGGATTTGAGTAACGTAGCACTTCCGGTTTTCGAGAAATCAGGTTTTGGTGAACATTTGGTTCACTGGTTTGCTAGTTTATTATTAAGAGAATTAAATAAATGAGATTGAAAAAGAGCTATATTAATAAAACGACTGACAACAAAGGTACAGTAGAACGCCGATTATCCGAATCGGTCCTAAGTAGTGTTGCCAGGTGTCCAGGTGTCCATTTCCAGGGGTCTGGGGACGCGTCCCGATTTGTACCTGATCGGGACGCTAAATGTCCCGATTAATCAAAAAATGAATTTAGGTAATTAATATATTACTATACTTGCACTAGTAGTTTAAAACGCAATAAATTAAACCCAGACTTAAAAACCCCTCGTTTTTTGTTTACTGTTCCGGTCTGCAACCGTTAATCCCGATTTTTTGACCTCAACACACTAGTGTTACAACAAAACAAAAACAACTTGGTTTTAATTATTTGATGTGTAACATCTTTCCTCTCGCTTTCCTGCAATTTGTGGGAGTGATTTCGTGAAATGGGACGGAAGTGTGTAACAGGAAGTCGCGAAAGCGCGCGCTATTTGATTTGATTTTAGAACATAATATTCAAATGGCTTATTCCTTTTGTTTGTAGGTTTTATTTCTTTTTTTACTAATATAAGGTGAGGTTTTAAATTTTACACATCATACGCGACTACTGTAAGGCTCGCTCGTTTTTTTTATATTACGCTTAGGACTACCTAACCGAAGGCCGTGGTAGCATAATTGGTCAGTGCATTCGCCCGGATTGGGAAGGGTGCGGGTTCGAGTCCCGACTGCTGCCTGGACCGCGTGGATTTTTTCTAGTTATATTTTCTTTATATATCAACTTGGTAAAGTCCATATATTTCACACTATCTGTTATATGCATATCGCCAATGTTTGCAAAGGGCAATGCAAAATGATTTTTAATATATTAATTAATTTATTTCATTTAATGTATTGTGTAAAACTATGTGATTTAGTTTTGATTGTTTATTATTATTATTTAAAATTCAGTAATAATTAATATTTTATTTATTTTTATTATTATTGTTTGTATTTAGTAAGAACAATTGACGAGTTGTGATACAACGATTCAATTTTAAGATAAAATGGAACAAATTGCAATAAGAGTATTTGACAGTAATAAAAAAAAAGTGCCAATTGTTAGCATCTGTGTTTAGAATGAAAATTGGCAGGGGTTTTTACTATTTTTACAGGAAACATATTCATAATTTTACTAAAAAGCCACGAAAAACTTAATAGTTTTCTTATTTATTGTCACGTGACCCAAAACGCTTGGGATTGGCGGAGCCTAAAATGACGTCACACGCAAGTAAACTTCCGGTTAGTGACATTACATTGTATCGTTTGACGTTTTAATAACAGTCGTGTAACTTCACACACCAGTGAGATGCCATATTGTCCAGAGAAACGTTTTCGCGGCAACAACGCGGAGTTTTTGATATGGTTATTTTTACTGAAATACACAACAGAATGATGAATATCCACTTTTTACGGACTCCATAAACATTAGTCAATAACGTGAGATCGTTTTCTAAAACGTATCAAATACCCTATTGTAATTGTAATTTTTAGTATGGGTTATTGTGCCTGAAATAAATATTTATTATTATATTATTATTATTACCTCAGGCGGCGGGTCGGTGTGGCAGGTGAGACTGATCCGTCGATGTACGCGTCTTTCTGGTGACGAACTGGGCTCGTTATGACCGCATATTGTACGGATATCGCGGGTAAGACGGGCTATGGTGGCCGATTCGCTGTCTACCACGGAGAGGTTGGTCGATTCCTGGTGAAAGAAGTAGGTATTAAAGTAATAAATAATAATAAAAATTTCCAACACTCACACCAATTAGCCTAGCCCCAAAGTAAGCACTATAACGCTTGTGTTATGGGATGCTAGGGTAACGGATAGAATACATATACTGTACATATATAAGAATATTTATATAGTAATAAATAAATATAAATAAATATGTCCAAAACTCACACCAATTAGCCTAGCCCCAAAGTAAGCACTATAAGGCTTGTGTTATGGGGTACTAGGGTAACGGATAGAATACATATACTGTACATATATAAGAATATTGATATAGTAATACATATTAAACATCCATGATTGGAGTACAAATGCTCGTATTCATAACACAAACATCTGCCCCCACCGGGATTCGAACCCGGGACCTCTCGAGTCGGCGACACCATGAAACCCGGCTCCCATACCTATTTTATGTTTCATTAAATGGCTAAATAAATTTGAAGCGATTATTTTTTACTCATGGAAATGACTATACTTTAAGAAAATTTATCTTTATGAAACCTACTTACCGACGGCTCATCCAGGTCAACTTGCATCAGCGTAGTGTTTTCCTTCAGAGCGGCCAGAATCGCTTGAAGACCTGCCACGCCCAATCTGTTGTCCCGGAGATCTATTCTCTGGAAATATTAATACAAACTTAGTTATGTTTTTATTTTTTAAGCATTTAACTGCTAGATGTTTAAATGTAGAGAAAAAATTACTAGAAAAAAATCCACGCGGACCAGGCAGCAGACGGGACTCGGACCCTTCGCTATTCGGGCGAATGCTCTGACCATTATGCTACTGCGACCCTGACGACCGTGTCGAATTTTCTCTAGCCTTAGGCTGCAAGGCAGCGCCATCTCCTCGCATTGTAGGTAACCCATAATGTCAAATGAATACCTTTACAAGTATTAAACATTTGAAAGAAGAAATAGCAATTTTAGTTATATGTCAATACGAATGAATAATTAAATGAATATTTCTAGCCCTCACACTAAGTAGCCTAGCCCCAAGTGAAGCACTGGAAGGCTTGTGTTATGGGATACAATAGAATAAATATACTGATTCACATACGAATATATTTATTTAGGAATATATATAATCAGCTCTAAGGAGCTTGATGGCGCAAGTGGTTAGCGTGTTCGGCTGCGATCGTTGAAGTTAAGCAACTTTCGCAGTGGTCGGTCATTGGATGGATGACCAAAAATTTACTATATCGAGCTTCTCCGTGCTTCGGAAGGCACGTTTCATCTGCAGTCGGTCATGGCCCAATCTCTCTATTCCATCCAAAAGGAAAGAAAATTATAAACTCAATATTGTGTAAAAATGAGTTAGGCCACTATGGTTCTCATGGCCTCAAATGGCATTAGAGTGATATGAACAAAACACAGCTTTACTAATCTAAGCTTATTACTTGTTTATTAAATAGGGTGCTTAAAAATTCAATATCGTTTATTCAGTCTAGGCTGTTACAAGCACTTGTGAATGTCGAAACGCCGTCGGTTCGCAAATCTACGGCGGGAGACCTTGTACTGAGAAGAACCGGCAAGAAACTCAGCAAGGGCTGTTTTTTTTCTCCCTGTATTATATACAGAGTCGTCAAATTGAAAAATGACTTCAATATGAGGTAACTCATAAAGTCACTTTCCATTACAAATGCCAATAATATAAAAATTATGACTTATAAACTGGTTTAACAAAGTTTAGGAATGCCGTGTCCTACTGTTTAGGCAAAAAAAAATGAATGTTTATCTCTAACCTGTAACGCCGGATGCGCTGCCAATAGTGCCCTCAAAGCGGGTGCCGACTCGCTAGTCAATCGTGCCGCCTGTAACCCCACGGATATGAGGCCGGGGCCCGAACACAGCGCCCTGACGCACTCCCCGCCCAACGCGTTCCGCCCCATGTTCAGTACGCACAGCGACTGATTGCAGCGCTGGGGGAACACTACGTATATATAGATATAAACATATATTGATACTAGAGAATTTGTACTGAAATTGATTTTCCATACAAACTTCCACCCTCTCAAAAGACGATTACTGTAATAACCTCCTAAAGGTCGACTTGAAGCAATTTTGCTTAATCGCAATTTAAAATGACCTTTTGACACTTACCTATGAGATATATCTAATTTTAGTTGAATCGAGATTTAGCACTTTGGCTGCAAGTGGGCCTTAATGATGGTTTCTGTGATAAAAGCTATCCTACATCCATTCCCGGTTCTCAAATTACATATCTCTATATCAAATTTTAGTTCAAATCATAGATTCGTCAATCGTGCCGCCTGTAGCCCCACGGTTATGTGGCTAGGGCCCGAACACAGCGCCCTGACGCACTCCTCGCCCAACGCGTTCCGGCCCATGTTAAGTACGCACAGCGACTGACTGCAGCGCTGGGGGAACACTACGTATATATATATATATATATAGATATATACATATATGAATTGAGGAGCTGGCGAACACTACGTATATATAGATATATACATATATAAATTGAGGAGCTGGCGAACAAAACGGTATAATTACGCATCTGGTCAAACTACATTTTTTTACAGTCCGGAGGTTTCAGGCCCGTTGAATTTGAATCTCAAATAATTTTCAATCAAAACCGCCTGTTAAGTGTTAAAATTACTAAATTTATAAATGCAATAACCATGCCAAAAGCTCACTGTCGGTATGTCATGCAGTTTTATACAGCTCCTGTGAAATTTAATTTTATGTAATTATACCGTTTTGTTCACCAGCTCCTCATTGATACTAGTGAAAATTTTATTTTCCATATAAACTTTCATCCCCCTTTTTCACCCCTTCAAAAGATGATTTCTGTGATAACCTCCTAAAGGTCGAGTTGCATAAGCAACTCAACAGTTCTTTCATATCTGAGAATATATAAAAATATCCAGGCAACAAAGCTCTTAAAAGTCTATTTCTTAATGGAATTTGGTTATTGAAACTGGTCCGTAAACCAATGTGAATAAAGATCAAATTGATTCGGCAACTCACCAGTGCTTTATTGAGATGAACGGCGCAATTCCTCGTCAGCTGATTGTTCCATAACACCAGAAACGCTACGCCGCTCGCTTCGTAACCGCTAACTGAAGAGAAAAAAAAAGGCAATATTTAATGGACTATACTTAAAAGATCATCAAAAATATAGTAAATGATCGCCAAAAAATAGAATTGGTAACATAAAGGTCATCATCATCATCAGTCTATTAATGTCCCCACTGCTGGGGCAGAGGTCTTCCCTATGGATGGAATACGGAGATTGGGCCATGGCCCACCACGCGGGCCCAGTGCGGATTGGCGGGTGCTAACGACTGCAGATGCAACCGGGACCAACGGCTTAACGTGCCTTTCGAAGCACGGCGGAACTCGAGATAGAAGATTTTTGGTCACCCATCCAATGACCGACCACTGCGAAAGTTGCTTATCTTCAACGATCGCAGCCGAACACGCTAACTACCCGCGTCATCGAGCTCCTCACACATAACGGTATAATATACATTTTTATTATTAATCATTCAACTGCTAGATGTTTAAATCTATTTTTTTTTTATAATTTCGACGCGGTCTAGGTAGCAGACGGGACGCGAACCCGCACTCTCCGTTATAGCATAGAATGGAGTGGAATATTTTCTAGTAAAAAAATGTTTAGAACCATAAATGTAGCAGTGAAATTATCAAAAAAAGAATAATTAGTACTCACTAGAAGCGGGGTCTGGTACTGGCGGACTTTGGGCCGCTTGCTCCACTAAAGCCCCGAATATATGCCCCGCCCCAGCGTCCTGAAAGGAAAAAACATCGTCATCATCAGATCATTACCCTAACAACACTACTCCAATAACATTATATACTAAAATACTGTGCCCAAAACAAACAAGAATTTTGCAAATTATTTTTGAAGTAAACCTCCTTTCATACTGGGTGTAAGTGGAAAAATCCTATGGAAAAGATGAAACGGAAATGCGTCACGAGCGTCACAAGGCTATATATATGTAAATATATAAATATACATACAGATGGAGCTAAAGAAGTTTCACTTCAGTCGTGTGGTCATAAGCACAATCGTTTTTATTGTATGTATGTTTGTAATTTGTATATTTTAAGAAGTTTTCCTAAAGGTAGAATCGATTTTAATAGTCAATGAAGTTTAATAAATAAAGCTCAGCTCACCTGTATCATTTTCATATTATTGGATAGATCCAGCAAATTCAGTTCGGTGTTTATGACAAATCAAACACACACATGTATAGCCTCTATTTCCTTACAGATAAAGTTTATATCTCACCTGTATCATATTATTAGATAGATCCAGTAACTGCAGCCTAGTATTGAGCCGCAGTAGTGACGCTATATGGCAAGCATCGCTGGCAGTCAAACGGTTGTCGCCTAACCTCAGTTCTCGAACCGAACTGTTAGACTTTAAAGCTATCACTGAAACAAAACAAAATTATATTTAAATCTAAAGAAAAGTTCACTAGGTAAAAATCAACACGGATCCACAGGCATAAGACGGGACTCGAACCCGCACCCTTCGCCGGCCGCCAGCGTCATTAGAGTATTAACAATGACAATATATCTAACACAGACATACGACAGTAAGAACAGTTATTCGGTCGCAATACTGTTTCTTGAAGCATTCCCATAATCATAATTGCTGCTGAATCTCAACCTTTTAACTTTGTAGTAAAGTTGCCGCCCTTTGCATTCACAGTATTGCAGCCTGCATCATTATGTCTAAATGTATCAATAGAGCAATAATAATGATAATATCTAACACACACGCAAACTACAGTGAAGATAATAACTCGGTCCCAATACAGATCCTTGGGGTACGCCATTATATTATTAACTTATCAGTTTTTGCCACAGTAAATTCCACCCTATTTTATAGTACTATTAAGGGTTAAAATACCTAAACACAGCAGCGGCTCGCCTGACAATGCTGCTCTCTGTAAGCACAGCACTCGTAGTCTGCAGGCCAGAGGTCGTAGCGCTCGGGCCAGTACTGGGGCGTGAGATGCTTCTAAAGGCCCTTCTAATATTTCTAGTTCTGACAGCTCGGCACTCTGCAGAAAGAAAAATGATTCAATTTAATTTCTTTTTTAAAAACTAAAGACTAAAGATTTAGCAACAAATATGCATTAACCAAATTATAATAAAAATAAAATATTTTTGTGGCACAAGATGTGATTTGGACTAGTAGGCGTAAGCAGTTTGAATTAAATGAGTTAATGATGTCGATCCTGGCTAGATTCTCTAAACCAAAACTTTAATTTGACAACAGAGTATCTTAGTCATTCTCTTTGCAGAATGAAAAGGAAAGACCGTTGTTAAATTCAGTTTTAAGTTTAGAGAATCGTGCTAGAATCGACACCAATAGATCTGTAAAATATTACAGCATCCTGGATTGTATTCAAAAAGAAGTTAAGGTAAATAAAGCTCGGGTAGCGGTTTCCATAGCTCGTCTCCTCCAGACTCTAGTCTCATTCAAGATCACCTAAATGTTTGCTAAATTTGAAATTCATTGTGAGTTACTAAAGTTCAAACTTTCGCACTGGATAAGAATAGAAAGTCAAAGAAAATATTGCCATACCTTTTTGATCATTCTAGAAGCTGCCTGCCACCCCCTAATGCCGAACTGCCTTTCTCCAGTGATACTCATAACAGTAGCGCTTTCGTAGTACTCTATCATGTCGAATATTGCCTCCTGCAACAAAAAAAAATATGAAGTTCATTCAACGAATTAGAAATCATATCACATAACTCTATGACAAATGCCACTAAAACAGGGTTCCATTAGTTTGGAAGAACTCAATACTAACGCGATGCGGACACAGACAAAACAAAATACTTTGCCGAATCAAATGTCTGCAAATAAATTCGGGTACCTATTCATTAGGTAAAATTATGTAAGAATGAAACAGAAATCCCAATCAAGCGAGAGCATAAGAGATAGACTATTACGCGCGGTGAGGATTATATACAAAATAAGAATTTATTTTTCTTCCATGTAATAAGTTTCAGCTTTCAGTATTTAACAGCACTTATCTGCCTCACAGAAGGCCAATTTTGTCCTTTGGAGACGCATGTATCTTAACTTTCAATTACGAATACGACAGCGCGTCTTGATCGCTCCGTCACTTGATCTGCAACTCTGAATGCCTTCTTATGAGGTACAAAGTCAACAACTTCACTGGCAACACGCACAGATCGAAGACTTTGGTCTTTAGGCACTGGGGTAGTTCGGACGCGAAGATATCGCCAATTTTCCCGAAAACTGTGAAGTTGAGTAGAATGCAGCGATTTCCCTCGTCCTCGAAACTACACTTACCCAACTGCACTATTTTTCCTAGGTATATTAATATGTCGTGTTGAATTCTCAAATCAATTCCTTTTTACAATCTTTGATTTACTGTATACAGTCGGAATATAAAATCTTTTAGATATAAGGTTTGTCTTCAAAGTTTCTGCCACAACGACTGTATGTATCATCGGCAAATCCAAGGTTTGTGATGAAATTCACGACTTGGATGTAGCAAACGTCTATACGGCGCCACTTTAAAGCAAATACTGCCCAATTTTCCACGTCAATTTATATAAACAAACTATTAAAATTTGCTATTAGCGTCCAGTGTCGAATTCGGTGACGCGAAGAAATAAAAAAGCGCTAAAGGAAGACGGACCTTTGGTCACCCTTTTGACATGTTTTTAGCACGCGAAATCCATACATTTGCGGTTTCTATTTCGAAGTATGCATTGAACCTATCAGCGAGACGATTCATAACGTCTATCGGAACCAACTTTAAGAGTACGCTCAGCAGAATTTTAATAATAATTATTGATATCATCTGAATTAAGTGAATTTATAAAATCTACAACATCCTGTTTAAAACACTCGTTTTTTTTCTACCGATACCGAAAAAGTACCGAAATACCGGTTTACCGCTTCTTAAAATGACAAAACTAAAAGAATACCGGTTTTACAAAATCCTTCCGGTCTCTGTCCTCATCATCCATCACAGTGTGGTCTATCTCCAGTCTCCTAAACTGCACCTTCCTATGCACCGGCTCGAGCGCATCCGCGCCGGCGCCGAGCCTTATAGCACGCACGAGGACAGCGCAAGCTGGAGAGAGCGGACGACCCCGCCGATCGCTTTTTCGGACAATTCTCTCGACTTCCTCACTCTTGTCATCTCATGAAACAGTTAAGCCATACTCACTGCTTCCTCGTTGCCGATCACCACGTCTTAATCATCTTACTCCAAATCTTCTAAGCTCGACCTTACTGAACACCACTTCAGTTATTCTAATAACCTTCTCACTCTTTTCAACTAGAGGTATAAAAACTAGACGAGTATGCTTACCGCTTCCTGGAGCTCTATTTTTGAATCACTCGCCTTGCGTCGAACGCTCTATTTCTACTGATTTTCATTCGACATAATTAAATCCGTATTTTTGAATCGTTCGAGTGCAATGGGTGAGACCACTCGTTGCATGGCGAATGGTGGAGGCGAAAAATAGAATAATTGTCAAATTTGTGTCAGACGTCACGTTAGTGTCAAACTTATACTTATTAAGATTTCGTGTGTGATTGGATTTAGCCACTGAGTAAAATAAACTATTAGAAACTGTTTTGAAATGAGTGCTGTGACGTTTGAATTTTTCAAATGCCGGCACTTGACTTTGCTATTCATTTTTCTATTAGACGACGATAATCTATCCTTGTCATGCTTTATATGAAACGACAAGGGCAGATTGAAGTCAAGTTTCTTCTTCTTTTATTATGGCATGACGGCTAATGCATGTCAAGTTTACAAACAGCAATCACGAACAGCTAAGTGAAGTGCCGGTAATATAAACAACAAAATACAACTATATTATACAGCTATGTACTAAGAATTTTTCGTTCCGTTTTCATTGCGGTAATAACCGGTTTTTATTCAGTCTGCGTGAAATGATTTTTTTATTATTTCGTATTAAACTGGTAACATCCTTGAGGAACGATTCAAAAATACGGAAAATCAGTATCATGCGACTTGAAAGTCGAAGGTGACTTATGGCGCATTCGAAGATAACTTGCCAGACGAGTGATTCAAAAATAGAGCTCCTGGTCGTCCATCACAACAAAGCGTGATCTATCTCCAATCTTGGAAGCTGAACCTTCCTGAAGCACCGCTTTAGTTCAATTCTCGTTACCTTCAACTCTTAAAAACTATTAGCCCTGCGAGACCTTCTAAAGTACCGCTCCTGTTAAGTCTCTCAATCTTCTCACTCTTTTTATCTAGAGAAATAGAAACGAGACGAGTAGATGTTAAGATAACAATCTTCACCTCTCACTATTTTCGTTTCTTGAAACTGTTAAGATATACTTACCGCTTCCAGTCTACCTCCAAGTATTTTAACCTAACTTTCCTGAGCATCCATTTTGGCTTAATTCTCACCACCTTCAACTTCTTACATCTGAACCGCTCCCTTATCGTCCATTACAGCGCGGTCTATCTTAAGTCCCCAGAGCTGATCCTTCTTGAGCACCCTCTCAATCTCCTCACACTTTTAAACGTAATAAATAGAAACAGTTAAGAGACACTCACCGCTCCTTCATCGTCCATCACAGCGTGGTCTATCTCCAGTCTCCTGAACTGCACTTTCCTGAGCACCGCCTCGAGCGCGTCCGCCGGCGCCGAGCCTTGTAGCACGCACGAGGACAACGCGAGCCGGGGAGAGCGGACGACCCCGCCGATCGCTGTTTCGGACAATTCCTGTAATGCATAAATTAGATTTTGGCCTCAATGGAAAACAAAGGTTCTTAACCATCATCATCATCATCATCAACAGCCTATCTTAGTCCACTGCTGGACATAGGCCTCTCAAAATGCACGCCACTCAGATCGATCTTGGGCTACTCGCATCTAGATCCTGCCAGCCACCTTGCGCAAATCGTCACTCCATCGCGCCTGAGGACGTCCTACACTGCGTTTGCCTAGACGCGGTCTCCACTCCAGAACTCGTCTACCCCAACGGTTATCGGTTCATCGACAAATATGGCCAGCCCACTGCCACTTCAACTTGCTAATCCGGTGTAACCATATTTCAGGGAAATGGGTTCAAAATTCAGCCCTGTCTGCCTTGCCTTAAATCTGGCCTTGCTAATACTGGCGTGGGCGTGAGGCGTGAAGAAGCAACATGCAGGCCGGCAATGTGGGGATGGCTGGTGTGGCAGGTAGAACTGCTGTACCAGCTATCTTCACGTCTGGACTTCACCGTCACTTAACATCAGGTGGAGTGGAGTTATTTGTCGGAACTATCTATAAAAAAAATACTACTATTAATCTTACCCGTATTTGTTGAAGCACAGAGTCGATCGGCGCTGTCCCATGTCGGCGACACGCCTCGAGGTACTCTGCCGCAAGCTGCGTTTTACTTGTGGCTGGCACTGTGGACAAACAAACAACAACTCAATTAGGAATTTTCAATTTATTAAACTGGAGTGTATCTTATTATTTTCGACTTCCTCTTCCTTCGGAATAGGGTTACCATCCGTCCGGATTGTCCGGACATGCCCGGACTTTTGTCCTTTTTTTTTTAATTAGGTGGAATATGAGTAAAGCTGCTTGTTAAGTTATATCAAATAAGTCAAATAATCTTTATTAAGTTCTTATTAATTTATACAAATTATACAATCTTTAAAAATCAACAACGAGACCCCTTTCGCGATGCGAGCGTCTGCTACCACGCGTATAATATCACTGTAACTAAGTGGGTGATAAAACTAGTTTTTACGGGTTCATGCACGAAACTTTATTTATTTATTGACGTTTCGTAGCCTTTACAGGCTACGTCGTCAGAATAAAACATTTATTTAATTTGTCGAGCTACCTTCAAATTTGTTTGCATTTTGTAACTAAAATGTCCGGACTTTCATCGAAATGTCCGGCTTTTTGTCAGGACTTTTCCAATTTTTAAATAGTAACCTTACTTCGGAAGGCACGTTAATGGTCGCGGCAATCATCAACTCTAGAAGCGATCATCACCGTATCAACTCGAGGCGTTCAGTATTCTTTGTGTAAAACTCCGTACTGCAATGCGCACTAATAAATCGAATAATTATATTAAAAAAAATTGAGGAGCTCGATGGCGCAAGTGGTTAGCGCGTTCGGCTGCGATCGTTGAAGTTAAGCAACTTTCGCAGTGGTCGGTCATTGGATAGGTGACCAAAAATTTACTATCTCGAGTTCCTCCGTGCTTGTGAAGGCACGTTAAGCCGTTGGTCCCGGCTGCATCTGCAGTCGTTAGCACCCGCCAATCCGCACTGGGCCCGCGGCCGCGTGATGGGTCATGGCGCAATCTCCCTATTCCATGTATAGGGAAGGCCTGTGCCCCAGCAGTGGGGACATTAATAGGCTGATGATGATGAAGATATTAAACTTATAAATCGAAATCGTAACGTTATTAAACAAATCTAAATCAAAAATGAGATAGAATAAGTTTCCTAATATCCCCCCGTTAAAAGTGTATATATATCAGAGACACACATTTTATTTCAGCATAATCCGAGCTCTTGACCGGCACAGATACAGAAATATTATCATGACCTAGTTAATAAGTATCTCCAGATTTGAGCAATCTGTAGTCATACCCCATAATAAACTCTTTTATTAGCTCTTCCTGACTATCGAGAGTTCAACGATCTTTTGCAATAGACTGCAGACTACATCTTTCATAGGTACATATAAACTTTTCAATTTCTATTTAATAAGATACTAATATTGAAAATGTGAAAGATTGTGTGTTTGTATTTTCTTTACTCAATCACGCAAAAACGGCTGAACGATTTGTTTGAAATTTTGCACATAAATAGTTTATTACCTGGATTGAGCCATAGGATTCTTTTTATCCCGAAAAAATTAAGTTCCCGAGGGTTTTCTAAAAGGCTAAGGTTAAAGCGGACGATATCGCGGGCGGCGGCTAGTTAATAAGATAATTTTCTTCTTATATGTGATTGACTTTCTTCAGGAACGATCCACTGCATCCAATCTCATTCTATTTACCGATTTTATCACAGATTCTATGAATAAGGGAATGCAAACTGATGTGGTCTAAACTGACTATAGTAAATTGACTATCAAATATTTTCATAAAACTAATCTACCATCAGTGAACTACTGAAATATCTATATATTTTTATAATTAGTTCATTAATCATTATTTTATAAGACTCTATACATCACCCGTAAAATGCAATATATACTAGCCAATATATCTACCTACGCGCCGATTAGCACGGCAGCGGTATTATTTTGTAAAAGGGCTCTTAAGCGAATTCCTTAAAAAGTCGATATTAAAATAAAGATGACTCAGCGAAGAGAGCATTCGTGTCGTGCGAGCAGGGTAAGTAGATTTTCTTGATATCCAAATGAGGTACTGATAACTTGGGCGAAACCAATACTAAGAAAACTTAAGCCGGGTCTCCAGCGCGTGTTTGCCCTACACAATCAACATTAAACAAAAACGTCTACACAAAACCTTGTGACAGGTGTTGAGGACCCGGTTCCATGATTATTATGGTCCGAAATGGTCCAGTGAATTGTATAAATAAAAGAAAATGGTAGCTACATAAAAAGAAAATGTATTTGTAACTCCACATATTATTCACACAGTAAAATTAATAAATTGACAAGTCTGTTATTCATTCATTGCGTAGCTACCTCAACATATATACTTCCAGACACATCTATCTGCCCACTTAGTGTTGTAAGTTTGTTTGTTTTTTTCGGCGCCGAACAGATCGCTGTAATCTTGCAGCCTCTAAATCCCTTCAACGGTCGCCACTTGTTGAGGACCCGGTTCCATAATAATCATGGAACCGGGTCCTCAACAACAGTGTTGTATCATCGGGCATTTTTTTGACAACTCGTTAGCGGGGATTCCGTTCCAAACCTACGCTCCTAGTACAAGTTTTCACTCTGATGTTTAAATTTTGTCAAAATTGGCATTTGTTGCACCTGGATCATTGTTTTTGAACGTAGCCCTGTGTATTTTATGTACGACAGCCACGTGAGCAGTAGACAACGTGTGTAGAGAAACATGTTTCAGAAACAAAGTTTTGTGTATGTGTTTTTGTTGAATGCTTTCCAAAAACCTTTTGGTGGACACCCGGCTTAAAAGTAACTGATATACAAAGTTGTTTGCAGTGTACTTTATTTGAACGAAATTACAAGACATAATTGGAGTCAACGTTATTACACACGTTAGGCTTCACCCCAAGTCATTGGTGATTGGTAAAATAAGTTCATTTTACAGGCTGTCTCCCGCGAATTTACCCGTGTTAATTTGAGGAACAGATAAGACACATTCATTATATTACAAAAAAAAAGGAAGAACATGAGTTCAACACCAGTTTAAGAAAAAAAACGTGCAATAGTACAATAGGGGTGATGACGGGGTACATCTATCAAATATATCTAAACCGATACAAAAAATAAAGTGAAAATTGTACCAAAACGTGACGTCATGCGACTTTTCAAATCAATATATCTCTGCAATGTGAAAAAAGAAAAAATACGTGTCCAATACTTTTTGATAATCTACCTGATAAATGAAGAAAAAAAATAGTCATCATCCCTATTGTATATGCTTAAACAAGGTTTTATAACATTGTCTAGCTTTTTTCTAGTTAGACTGATTGTTTTGCGTCTTGTTTTCTCTTAGCTCCTTCGTGAACATCAATGACGTCATTCCATATAGCATGTTCTACAATCCCTATTGTTTTACTAACCCAGTATTTTTTAATTAGCTTAGAAGGTTATGTTGGTTGTACGACACAAACATATCATACCCACATTAATGTATGAAATGACCTCACCACCGTAGAACGAGCAAATAAACCCCATTTGCGAGGGTAAAAGAGGTTTTATGTCAGCACTCGTTGCATTCGCTAACGGCATCCTCGTCCTTCAGAAAATCGTGTTTATATTCTTTGAATCACTCTAAGAAACAGTTCATGCAGAAATAAGCAGCGTAGCCCTACTTCTCCACATCGCAGGCAAAATATCAAACATTGGAAAGGAGAAAGCGCCAGGATGTATTATGTCCCTTAAAAATGTCTGTATAATATGTGTGTCATGATATAAAAGCTAGCAGTTAAATGGCCTGCGTAGACGAGAAAAAAATGAATCGTGAAATGAAAAAAAAACCGCCGAGGACTTGTCACGGACTCTACGCACGCGGTTTGCGAATATTTGTTGCCCGAAAATTTAGAGAACAAACCCAAAGCGCACGCTAAGAAAGTAAATATTCTCAGATTACGTTGTGTTGTAATGAATATGAAGATTTAAAAAAAGAGAAGATATTTTAAAAGAAAAAACTGGGATATCTTCAAATATGACCGAGCGTGCAACGCAGACTAAAGTTGGCTGTGTGCGTTGCTGCGCCTAGTCACATGAGTTCTGTTCCGCGTACTGTTGTCCTGTCCAGTCCCTTAGTTGTTGAGGGACTTTGTACGCGGACTTTTAATTTCTCGTCTGCGTTACTCGTTGCAGTTGCAAGCGATCTAAGTATTTTGGCGGCTTAAAAGTCCGCGGTCAACGAGGGACACCTCGTCTGCGCAGGCCACAATTCTTTATAAACACACGTGGTTATATCAAAAATAAAAACTCCAGAGAAGCGAATAAAGATGTTCACTTGTTTATTGTACCGTGGCGTAGCATTGATAGCGTCGCCTGTTGCCCTTGAACCTCCAAGGTCAGGCCTTCCCACCCAAGGCTGTGTTTACTAATGGACCTGCTACCGGAATTGGTTTTTTGTCGGCTACTCTGGTACTCTAGATTATGACAACAACACGTTGCGTTTCTTTTAAGAATGACTTGAATCTTTCACTGGGAACCTTTTTTTGGGGTAACATAATTATTACAAGAGTTACTAAAGTTGATGAGACGTCGAATCTATGGAAACGTGATTTTTTGAAATGTTCAAAAGTCAAAGTCAGTTTTTGCTCATACCAAATACTCAATTTTATATTTTGTAATATTATTATGAATCTGAAACTGCTAAACGATGTCTAGATGATAATTTGAAAAGGAACATAAAAATAGAGCCCTTCTAAAAATGGGTATTGCCTTGTTAAGAGAAGGTTATTCACGAATACTGCAATATTATAAACGTAAAAGTAACTGTCTGTCAAGCTTCTATGCCTTAATCGATGTTGCAGTAGAATTTTTCAATAAAAATAAAAAGGAACTCCTAGAAGGACATAATGTGCAACTTTATGTAGTGGAAATTATATTTGAAAATCATGACATTTGGTAAAAATGGGCAAACCTATAATCCAACGCAGATGAAATCGCTAGTTCAACAAAATCGTAACAAAGTTTACAACGTTACATTTTAATCAAGATGCGATATTATTGTTTTGATATCGTCATACCTATACCGGAT